TCTGGCCGAGTTTATAACGCGAGTGTAACGCGATAAGAAACTATTTTGAAGGACGGCAGCAACCCACGACATCACTCCACTCGCTTCTATTGCGATGAATGCATCGTTACAGGTCAATCATTCAGATCAGTCACAGGGACGAACATTGTCGTGAATTTGGCGGTAAGACACGGTACAGTGTTTCTAATATCTTCTTAAGCACTGTACAAAATGAAGCTAAAAATGCGCAGTCCACCTAACCGCACTCACCTTGTCGACAAATGGCCGGTCTAAAAAGTCCGGCCCGCCTATGCTCAAGTTGATCACATGTAACCTGCGCGATATCGCATAGTTGAAGGCGTCCAGGAACCACGAAGTGTAGGAGACTTGTTGATCGGTAAACACACGGAATATGAATAGGTCGGCCCATGGTGCGAGTCCAACAGGTGGACAACCCGAACTTCCTGAAGACCGGGAGATAAACTGATCCAAGAAGGGTGGACTGTTTTGGGCCGCGGCAATGAGACCAGCAACAAAAGTGCCGTGTCCGTGCCCATCCAGTGCTTGCAAATTTGATCTGCGGGTTGGATCTACTGCCTGCGTGCGAAATAGAATAAAAAAGGCTGGTCTGATACGGCAACAGGTTGATTAAGTATTGCAAAAGATGAATCATTGCAAGACCCACAGAAATCAAACTCACTAATGTGTTGTAACTGCGACGCATGCTTATCGCGTAACCCGTGAAATATATTATACATACTAAAATACTGTCAAGTGGGTTGTGGACTCGAACCCACAGCCTTTTTGGCTTTATGGAAGTTGTCAAAAGCGTTGTTTGTATAGGGGTTCTCTCAAGCTCCTTCATACTATCGTTATTATTCCAGCAACAACTCTGAAAACACGGCCAAGATGCCTAGAAAAACAATACGAACGCTCTGGATCATCCATAACACATGGATACAACAAAGTCGATTTTGATCGTATCCATAATAGGGTTCATTAACGTGTCATTCAGTTGTAGCACTTTTTCGGTGCCTAG